TTAAATTTGCCTGACCACACTACAACTCATACTGAAAAAAATAATTTCTTTCCGCGAACACTAAACTTATGTTCGACAACTTTTCGAGGTTAAGCAGCTGTTCAAGTAACAGGCCAAATAAATATTTTCACAGCATATAGAGAGTATGAAAGTAATTGCGAAGATCAAAAGCAAACTGTTTAATAAACAAAACGAAATTCATTCAAGAGGCAGCAACAACTACGACAACAACAAATCTGCACAATACACGCGCAGGCACAACAAATTGCCGACTGGTAGCGCCCTCAATGAGAACATGGGCATTTAGCAACTTGCAGCCGTGACGCTTATAAACTTTCTATTGAAACATGTTTTGCATAGAATAATAAAAGTAATAATTTCTGACACTCTGGCATTCCGGCGGCACCTTGTGTGCCCTAAACTTCATACACTCAGGGCATTTCGCTATTCTTCAACTTAATTTAATTGAAAAGTTGGATTGCAACAGCCGCCAAGACGCCCCAGCCAGCAGCACCAGCTGCCACAGTGGCAGTAATAATAACAATAACACAAAGCAAGGTAAGCAGTATTGTTGCTGGCAGGTAGCAGTTGCCAATTTGCTTCGCCTTTAACCTTTAAGCTTTCTAATGCTCTCACTCAGCGCTACCAGCGTCTTGCTGTAAATTTCTCGGCGATTCGCTAGCCTGCTGTGCGTTAGTTTTGTCTCTTCGTCGATTCGACTGCGCGACAATATCGGTGCACGATGTGCACACATAGGCACATCGTGCCACAGATCGGCGGCTGGTGTGCCTATGTGTGTTTGTGTGTGTGTTCGTGACGTTCATTTATTTATGTTGGCAAAGGTGAATGGCGTAACGTAACGCAATATTTATTGCTTGAATTTAACACCAACAAATTGCAAGCACAAATTGGGATTTAAATGTCAGCCGCTTGTTTCTCTAATTTCTAAAGTTTGCCAGATAATAGTGATTGCAATTTAATTGCATTTGGATAGCAAGTTGTTGCTTCTTTTTGTCTATTGAATTTTCGTAATATATAGAATTTTAATAATTATAAAACAAAAACTCATTACAAAAAATTTTTCTAAAATTTTTTTTTTAAAAGCACTCATTTTAGAACGTTATAGTAATAGTTAACAAAAAACTTATTAAAAAAAATTCCCGAAAATTCTAATTTTGTTTGAATAATTTTTAATATCATTTCTGAAAACAACTCATTTTACTTGTAGAACGTTAATAGTTACAAAAAACCTTATTAAAATATATTTTTCGAAAAGTGTAAAAAGTTTTGTTTGAAATTTTTCATATTTAATTTTTAGAAAATATAAATTTTAGGACGTTAATATGTACAAATAAACAATGCATGTGTATGCATTAATTCATGCGGTTTACTAAGAGAGGGCTTTACTAGTATTATTTCGCGTCGTATTCATCTGTGGCTATATTCATTTCAAAGGTACTGCCATTTCGCGTCGCTTTCAGTAGATATAAATTGTTTGAGCGTGAACAACAAGTTGTTTCATTCATTTGAAAATGTCGAAATTTGTACCAGATAAAGTGTTTTTGCGGGGAGTTCTTCTTCATTATTTTAACATAAAGAAAAGTGCTGCTGAAAGCCATCGTATTTTACCGGACGTTTATGGTGACCATTCTTTAGCCGAACGTGCCAAAAGTGGTTTGCACGGTTTAAAAGTGGCAATTTCGACTTAGACGACGGAGAACGACCCGGACAGCCAAACAAACTTCAAGACGAAGAATTGGAGACATTGCTCTACGCAGATGCATGCCAGACACAAGAAGAACTTGCAAAAGTATTAGGAGTTGATCAAGCAACCGTATCCAGACGATTAAAATCATTGGGATTTATCCAGAAGCTTGGAAATTGGGTGCCTTATGAATTACAGCCAAGAGACGTCAAACGTCGATTCTGCATGTCGGAAATATTGCTTCAACGTCACAAAAAGAAGTCGTTTTTGCATCGGATTGTCACTGGCGATGAAAAATGGATTCATTGTGATAACCCAAAGCGCAAGAGATCTTATGTGAAGACCGGCCAACGATCGATATCCACGGCAAAGCCGAATATCCATGGTGCCAAGGTTATGCTATGTATTTGGTGGGACCACAAGGGTGTGCTCTATAATGAGCTATTGAAATCGGGTCAGTCGATCAATGGGGACCTTTACCGAAAACAATTGATTCGTTTGAAAAAGGCCATCGCGGAAAAACGACCAGAATATGCAACCAGACACGAATCAATAATTTTTCATCATGACAACGCTCGGCCACATGTTGCAAGGCCAGTTAAAAAGTATTTGGAAAACTGTGGGTGGAAAGTTCTACCTCACCCGCCTTATATCCCAGGCACAGCACCTTCCGATTACCACTTGTTCAGATCAATGCAGAATGCCCTCACCGGAGTACGCTTCACGTCAGAACAGGGTATCAGAAATTGGCTCGATTCTTTCTTGACCTCCAAGCCGGAGAAGTCCTTTTGGGATGGGATCCACAAACTGCCAGAAAGATGGATAAACATCGTAGCTTCCGATGGGCAATACTTTGAACATTAAATGTATAACAATTTTTTCACAATAAAGTCTTAATTTTCGTAAAAGAACCGCACGAATTAATGCATACACCCATATGTTCATATTATATATATAAAAAAAATGATCAAAGGTTTGGTATTTTTTTTTTAGTTTTATAATTAAATTTTTGAAAAATTAGTAATAAATTTAGAATGTAAATAATTTAAGTTGTTAAAAAGAGAAAAATTTATTTCCAAATTTTTTTTTTAGCAAATACGTAATAAATTTAAAATGTTAATTGTTTTAAATTTAAAAACAATAAAAAACTGTTTTAAATTATTCGAAAATTTTTGACATTCTTTGTTTTGGATTAATTTTTGAAATTTCTTTTGACAAGGTTTTTTTGTTCGAAATTTTTTTTGTAAATTTTCTTTTGTTTTTTTTCCAAAATTGGTTTGAGAATTTGTTTAAAATCAATTTTTTGAAAACACGTTCAATTTTATTCATCTCTTTGCTATCCAACTTGTTGATTACCACATTCTAACTAGATATATATTTTTAAACGCCAATTTTAAAATTTTTGTTTTATAAAACAAAAAATTAATATTTGTCAAGCTCAAGGTCACTGATATCAAACTATGTTTACGCTTTAGCTTGTTAATTTTTAGTTTCCATTAACTTTCTTATAAATATGTGTTGTTTTAAAAGCGGAAAGAGCAAAGTAGAACAGTAAATAATAAAAGTATAACTAAGACATCTGCTTGCAGTACTATATCAATATTTATAAAGCTGTTCGATGTTTGTCGCTTTTTCTGATATTTATTCGACGGTAATTAGTGCATTTACAAATATTTGAAAAAAATGGATTGAGAAATGAAAAAATTAACCTAAAAATTATTTTCGATAAACAAAAATTATTAAAAAAAGTAATTTAAAATTATTCTTTGGCATTATTTAAGAAAGTATTTTAATATAAATATTGTTATAGTAGTACCCTGTTTGATCTATTTTCGTTGTGTATTAGCTCATTTTTAAAATAATTCTATAAATTCCCCGCAAAACTAAATGATATTAGATATTCGAAAATATGTTAAATTGTAAACTTTCAAAAGGCGTTTACAGCCACTTATATTTTCACATATATTTTGTGATATATTAAATTTTGTTAGTTGGCAACTCTATTTCAAAATATGTTTGATTTAAGCTGCTTCAATTACTTTCTAAAGTCGTTTTTAAATTTTAACATATTTTATAATATATTTTAAAATGTTTTATTGGTGGCAATCTTATTACAAGTATATTTAACTAACTCCACTGGAAACACTTACCTGAAATGCGTTAAATTTTACGTTTATTTTATAATATTTTACTCAGCCTTACTTGTTTGGAAGTTGGTAACCCTAATTTTGAATATGTTCAAATTGAGCAGCTAGCCATTTGATTGCTATCCATTTGTGGTAGTATTCTGCAGACTGGAACACTTTTTCGGGATGATATTTAGACCTTCAGCTCGAGAACATATTGCAGTTCAAGAATAAAGTATAGTCTCAAATATTCCTCCACTTAATGGATGGGTGAGTTCCTTTAAAATCTACGGCAGCATAATACTGCTTTTGGCCTGAATACCAAGCGTATATTTCTAGACTGCATGAAGAGATTGCTTAGCATAACTCTAAGTTTTCTATATAGTGCTTTATATCTTCTCTTATTCAAAAAAATAGACAACCCAAGTACCGATGAAACTATTGAGTTCTCTGTGCACTAATATAATTTTTGATGGGTTTAACTTACGTCACAAACTCCAGTTTCAAACTCGGTCAAGTGTTAAGAATTAAGATCTACACCACAAACTCGAGTTTAACATTAAATAATATTCAAATTGGCCCACAATGCCCAAATTTTTCTAGTAGATCTTATATACAATAGTAACTATATAAACTACGATAAGAGATGAGGTTTTATGTAGAGTTTAGCAAAAGATGTTCCTTAACTTAACATACTTCACACAACACTTTTTAGTATTTGTGTTTTATACAGCTAGAAGATATAGAGAATTTAGACGTACTATGTATTAACTGTTCTGATTCCATATAAACTCCTAGTTTTCTTGGTGGTGTGTTTGATATGTCTTCTATCATCCATGTCTTCTAACAAAAGTTTACACTATTAACTGTTCTGACAATTCCAATTAAACCTGAATTTTTCCAAACATCAAAATGATAACACTTCTTGTTGTGATTGAACTAAGAGTATTCAAATCTAGTTTGTGGAAAAAAACATGAACTACCTTCGATGCCGAAGCACAACTTCGGAGAGCCTCTGGATCGCTTAGTATTGTCCTCTTTTGGTGTTTAACAGTCGCCGTGTTGAGCTTTCAAGCGTATGCTGGAAAGTAGCTTCAGTTAACCCGCCAGACGACAAAAACCAAATATATGTTACAAAATCAAAAGAACCCTATAGATATCTGCAAACTCAATAACACAGAATATATTTGAATCTTAATATTACAAGAATTATGTAAAACTCATTCTCGCGTTCACAATCGAAGGCATTCGTCAATAAAATCGCGCACATTTACATTCATCACTTTTGTATAGACACCCGGATAATTTTTACGCCCACAACCGTTGCCGAACGATACGATTCCATATTGTCTGCCATTAATAACTGCTGGTGCACCGGAATCACCGGTGCATGCATCTTTATCGCCACGTCCGGCACACAACATTGTTGGCGTTAAGCGTGTATTGACTTTTGCATACTCGCTCGAACAAGTGTTCGATGCAATGATCTGTACAACAACCGTACGTAGTATATTTACGGCTGTCTGCTTGGTTTCGTTTGTCGTTCCCCAGCCGCTGACACGCATGCGCACGCCTGCTCTAGTTCTGGTTTTCGCCAGCGGTATGATGGCCACATTCGAACCGAGAACCATGGCTTTGCGGAACAAGAGCACGCCGACGTCCATATTTCTGATAGTCGTATCGAATTCTTCAGGATACCACATTTCTTTCACGCGTCGACGCTGTCCGCTGGTCCGTAGATCCGTAACGCCCGCAACAACAATGATTTCCGAAACTTGTTTATCATAAAGACAATGCGCCGCTGTGAGCCCGTGTCTTTTCGAGATAAGCGAAGCGGCACAAAAGTATGAGCCGTCAGTTAGCAGCCCTAACATATACGGATGCTTTTTTATCTTCGTGGTTCTGCCACCGACAATACGGAGCTGTGCATCCGTAGTGCCATACAGACATTGGCTCAGCACTAGTAATGCGAGATTGTAGTTTAACTTCATTTTGCTTGCACTTTCTGCTTTCAATGCTTATAGTTTAAGGGTCTACAGAAAACTAATGGTATTGCAAAGTTTTGTGCAAAATTTGACTGACGCGCGAGGCTTAAAGATGCAAGGAAATTTGTTCAAATTTTATAACATATGTCTGCTATACTCATAAGTTGTTTCAGATGTCAATAGTTCTAAATTATCAGTCGTGAAAATATATATTTTAGTTTTTTTACAAACAAATTTGTTGCAGTTTTTTAACTTTTTGCAAAGTACATTCAATGTCTTTTCGTTATTTTTATGTTTGCACAGTTGCTTTTGAGATTTAAAAACAAGCAATCAAGTGTTTAGCATGAGTCATGGTCTGTCTGTCTTTCTCTCTTTCCGAGGTTGCAAATGTTTACTATAATTTATTAATGAAGGCGTTCTTAGAGATTTGTCTAACTTTAGGGAGCAATATTTAGCACTCACACTTTTTATAAAACATAAAATGAAATTTTTCCAGATAACTATATTTCGTCGCCTCGCTAACCCCGTTTAAATCAGTACTTAACTGTATAAAAAACTTAATTAAGAAATTTTATTCTAGAAATATTTCCAAATTCTTTGCTTAGTCTTGTGAAAGCCTGAAAACTGTGTTGTGATATTAGTTAATAGAAGAATATATTGCCTACTTTTCAGCGCCAAAGTAACAACTTTTTTTCAGGTGACAAACGAATGTGAAATGTGTATGATACTTTTTAGCGCAAGTTCGCAACTTTTTCTAAAATTCATACTATTTGGTTGATTCCATTCATTATGTTCAACTAAAGCAGCGCTATTAGTTCCAAATAGCAATCGAATTAGCATGCAAGAGCTCATTTTCACCTTTAAAGAGCCTATTCTTTATTTCAAATGAGTTTTAGTAGACACTAGGAAGTTAAAAAGGTTTATGAGAAGTTTACGTTCTTCGTTTGGCGAAACCATTGTGTTAAATCCATATCTTATTCTTTCAAACCAGATAAACTGTTAAAATTTTAGAAATATGTATATTGCCGACATTTCAGCGCCGAAACAAAACGTCCAAAATTTTTATAAAATTTTTTTTCAAGAAAAATTAAATCTGTTGCGGCGGAAATTCAAGATAGAAATCCTGTTCTCAACTATTTTAAAGTTACTATTATGCAATAGCGGTTCTTAGACAGTTAATATTAGATTTGATTAATAGTGAACATCGTGATACGAACCACATTTACGAAGCTGAGAATTAACTTACTTGGACCCCACTTTACGTTCAGTCGCGTTGTGTTAAAAAAATTAAAGAAAGATTAGATTAGGATTCCAGGCTTTGTTTCCATAATATGTAAAGTCCGTCAAATCATACATTTTGGTTTACAATTATATGCTGAAGAGAACTTCAACGCAAGATAAAAACCTAAAGGTAACCGAATTTAAGTACTGAATTACGTACTAGTTGAGCCAAGTCGGGATACAATGTATAAAGTCTTTGTGATAGACCATTTGAAAGTAGCTTTACTTTCGCGCCATCTAGTGCCCATAGTTAAAATTTCGAATTCGAAAATTAAATGATTTTTTTTTCAATAGCTGCCTTTAGTAATCTGTACAATCTTTGTATAAGTGCGATCAGGTTACGCTATATGGCGTTAGAAAATTTTTTTCAGTATGTTTTGTGATTGTTTGACTCAAATATAGTCAAAATATACTCCTGCAAAGAGAATATATGTTGACCATATTTTACAGTTTTTCTTCGATAAAGACGAATACGTTAGCCAGGCGGCTGAAAATGTGAATATTGTTGATGGTCCTGGTAATATAACAGTCGGTCACGCGTAATTTTGGTTTCGTCGATCTCGTGCCATGCGACGTGCCTTATGGACCGAATTTCCTTCTGCGATTCTTTGTTGAATCACAACCAAATCGATCCTGTTTTGAAGGGTGATGAAAAGTGGGTCCCTTAAGACAACGTTAAGCGCAACAGAAGTGATCGAATTGCAGCAGCGGCCAGCTCTAGCCAATAAGAGTGGAGTTTGAGTTTTTTCTTCAACGAAATACTGATTTATATACATATAAATCAATATCAATCAACCGTGTTAGTCGCAGCTAAGAGTATTATATTGTAACGATATAAAGTTTTGAGTACAGAGATGGACTAAAATGGTTAAAAAAATATTATTATTGTTGAAAATGTTTTTTTGCCTTTCTATCAAAGTTGCAAACTAACTAATACACTGGAAAGAAATAAATACTTGTATAATACAGTTGATTCATTGCAAACTCAACTTCTCCTCCTATTCAAGCTACTTTTCCGCGTAAAAAATTGGAAGAAGTATAAATGCGGTACTAACTTTATACCATTTCACAGTTTAGTCACTGCTAAGTGACTTATATCAACAATTGAATTTGCAACCTCCACTGTAGAGTCCATTTCATTTCATTTCGATGGCGAACTGATATCTAGCGTGTAAGCCCCCCTAAATGCTTGCGATGTCCGAACATAAATTTGAAGTTAAAAGTCAAAAGTGCTTCAAAAATGCATGAAATTTCAATACTGCTTTCATTGCATCGCGAAATATGAGGTATATGAAATTCAAAATATCATTTTAAACCTTTCACAACAACAGCGTCAACGAAAATATTCGATATGCCATAAAGTAGCTTTAAAAGTCTGTAGCCGTTGTTGGCAACAGTTGCCGATAGAAAGGCATTATCAATAGCCATCAGCAACGATATACAACTCAGATGGGAGGCGTAACGTACATGCGCTACTCGAGGTCGGATGTCCAGCTAGGCGACCGTGGTGAAGTCAGAAAGTTATTTAAGCGTCATGTTGCCAGCGGGTGGTGTGCGGTTGTGTTCAAACGGATAGCAGAAATGTGAGCAGATATAGTGTACTATACATACACTCATACATATTGACACGCATACATATTCGTAATACAGATATATTTCTACACCAGGGTGAACCAAAAGATGTGTGAGTAAAAATATTAACTATGTTCTGAACAGGGTATATTAAGTTTGCGTAACAGTTTGTAATACTCAGAAATAAACGTCGAAGGTTCTATAAAATAGGAAAGATCTGCATTAGGAGCTGAGTCGATTTAGCCATGACCGTATGTATATCCGTTCGTCTCTATATACACGAATTAGTCCCTCAGTTTTTGAGATATCGATCTGAAACTTTACATAAGTTCTTCTCTCACCAAGCTAAGCAGCTCCTTATTTGTCGGAACCGTCGATATTGCAACACTATAGCATATTGCTGCCATACAAACTGAACGAACGGGTTCAAGTGCTTGTATAAAAAGCTTTTTCATTTGACGAGATATCTTCAAGAAATTCGGCAATTATATTTAACATCCATAAATCCATAAACCGATAAATTCGAAAAGTTAGTATAGAGCATAGCAAGATAGTATAGCTCACACTAATATACTCATTACTCCCGGTTTCCTTATATAAAATTCATACAAACACCAATATATTTGTTTAGACCACCAACATCGCCGTATAACCGTTATATTGTGGCAGTAACAACATGAAAACATAAAGCATATAAAGAGCGGCGATAGTTTTACGCTCAGTGCACATGAAGCACACGCTCATGCTGTGACTCTGCTGTGCTGTAAACTTCAACAACAACCAATGTTGTTGTTTTTGTTGTTATTTTTTGTTGTTGTTGATAACGGTGCTGCTGTGCTGACGTTGATGATGGATAGCTTTGCTTGTGTGCTCGTGTTGCAGGTGCAGCTCAGCACAGTAGAGAAAGAGTAAAAAAATAGTTTGAAGAGAGGTGAATGCAGGGGCGTGTGGGGTATGCGTCAGTGCTACCAAGATGAATATTTGTATTTAACTCTTTGACTTGTTGCGTTGACTTTCGTCTCAGGTACACTATTATCTACTATTGTTCTGTGCTAGCAACAACAACAATGACAGCCATATTACTTTGCTGCCAGCTATCAGTTTGCCAGTTGAGTGAGCTACCATGAAGTGCAGCGTTCTTTCGTTCGCAGACAACAACAAAAAAGTTGAAATGGAAAATAAAGTGGAAAAAAATGCGAGAGTTCATAACAAATGCAATTTTGATATGTGAAAATGATTTATTGTGTCAGATGACATTACCGTTGCCGCGCTCACTCTGCAGCGCCATTAGTGCTGGCGCGTGTGGCAGCAATTTGGTTGAGTGTTGCACATGTGGCACTATATATTTGATGCGATTTTTTGTTGTTGTCTCACAGGTGCAGTTAATTTTTTGCGGTTTTCTTGTTGGATTGTGGTTTTGGTGCGGAGAATTTTGCAAAGGAAACCCGCAATCCTTTTTTTTTGTTTTTGTTGAAAAGCAATATTTGCCATATGGTTTGGCATTTTAATTTTGTAAAAAAAAAAGTATTGCAAATTGATTTGTTTGAGTTACGATTTTTTCTTAGTTATACTGTAGTATACGCATCCGGTTCCCAATATTGCCTTCCTTTCAAGAGAAAAATGGGAAAGATGGACAAGGGACACTAGATGATCGAGTGGGAAATGGTGTCTTTTCAGAAAAATTGGATACCAGAATCGCCTTCCGTCTACCAGAGCACTGCAGCGTCTTCCAAGCGGAGATCACAGCAATTAAAGAAAGCCTTCTTGTTGACTGAACGGATATCACTAGGGTTTTGTCAAAGATAGTGAAAGAATGCCTTGAACTCTCAGTGGATCTAACATCCTATTACACGATAGACCTGCGATGGTTTCATGGACATAGTGTTATTCCTAGTAACTCTGAAGCAGATGAACTAGCCAGAATAGGCACAACCCTACAATTTAACTTAGAAAAAGAGGATATTATATGCATTTGGCTATGTGTAGATATTTAATTGACAAACATGTTATAAATATAGCTGAGGCTTAGTGGAGTCACTTCTTAACTTGCCCAACAAGCAGGCAATCGTAGCATGGATGGAATATGGGCCGCACATGTCGACTACTGAAATTCAAAAGGAATATCATAAGAACTTCAATAGGAGTGGTAAGAGGTCACTATCTAATTGGCAGATATGCCAGCAGACTGGAAACACCATGCAATGACTATTGTAGAAGCTGTTAAGAAGAAGAAGAGACGATAGAACATCTTCTTGGGAATGCAAGGCTTTGTGTAAGAAAAGAATCTCAACTATCGATCGAGGGTTTCTTGACGATGTCTAGGAGGCTGTACTAATAAAATTTT